GGTTGTTGGCTGGTTGTTGGGTAGTTGTTTCTTGGCTGTTGGCTGGTTATTAATTGATTGTTGGTTCGGCAGTCTGATTTGTTGCGTAATCAAACTGTCCGTCTGTGTGTCCTCCAGCTGCTCATCAGGAAACTGTGGTTGGCTGCTCGATGTTTGCTGACGCTGTGTGCAGAAACTTCACCATGACCGTCGTGACAGGACCGCCAGGTGAGCTCACCTGAAGCAGCCTTCTTCCTGTGATGTCACAGTGAACTGAAAGCTTTCAGGGAAGTTCTCATGATTCTTCTTCTTCTCTGTCCTCCTCCTCTTCCTTCTCCTGTCCACAGTCTCTCCTCCTGAAACGTGGCTCATCCTCACTGTGATGTAAGATTCAGTCAGCTGTTTAATCTGCTGCCAGTCGATCTGCTGATTCCACTCTAATCACTGTATGACCTGCAGAGCTCATCATGTCTCTGGAGGAAACACCAAATCTGTCATGCGCTTCAGCAGGAGGATGCCAATTTAATTTTTTTTTTTTTTTTTACATTGGAAAATTCTTGGTTTTAAATTAAAAGAACAAAACAAAACAAAACAAAAAACATCTTACCTGTGAAGTTACTTTCAGGGTTTAATATGTCCAAAAACAGAATAGAATAATTTCCAGCTCGGCAGAGGACAGCTCTCCTGTCTCCTGTCAGTGTCTATCTATGGATGGATCCATGGTTCTACTAGAATCCAGTCTTTGGTCACATTTGAGGCTCTGACATCAGTAGAACCTGATGTGGTGAAGTTATAATCCCAAAAATAATGATCCCCTAAAATGACTGCCAACGTAAGATGTTTTTGTTTTTTGAGGGTGAAATTAGAAAAATTTCCAGATCTGACAACACAAAATTCTCTAAATTCAGCCTAAACATTTGACAGAACTTAGTTTGGGTCTGAAATAAATGAACTGTGAGCAGAATCGGAGGTGGTGCAGCGACATCACTGTCAAAGCAGCAGTTTGAAGACGTACCGATGATGTTTCAGTTGTTTCAATTTGGACCTGCAACTAACCAGTTTAGATTTTGTGTTTAGCAGGTACACTCCTGCCCAACCTGCAGAAGGCCTCTGATTGGCTGCACAGATGGAGCAGGCTGCTCTGACTGGCTTTGGGTCATGTTTGGTGTGTTTGTCTCTGCAGATCTTTGTCTGTCTTCCTGATCCTGCTGCTCAGTCTAGCTCTTACCCTGTTGGCCTGCAGAAACCATTACAGCAACAAGCACCATGGTAACAAAGTCTTCCCCCAACCTGCTACCTGCTCCCATCAGATATGAAGCCCCGCCCAGCCTGTGACTCACCTGACTGTTTTCTGTGCAGGTCTGAATCTGCCCTGACTGACGAGGCTGCAGCTCTGAAGGCAAATCATTCCACAATCTTCTCAGTGTCCCTGCTGGAGAAAGCTGTTGCTCCTCATCCAGGTTCTGATCCTGGTGCTGATCCAAGTGTTGATCCAAGTGCTGATCCAGGTCCTGATCCGGATCACCAAAACCCAGCAGCTCATCTGTAGTCCAGGTGTAGGCCAGGTTAAGTCCCGCCCTGTCTGAGAGTCTAAGTCCAGTTGACACTGGTCTAGTCCAGGTGTAGATGAAGTTTAGTTGGATTAGTCCAGGTGTAGCTGGTTTAGTCCTGGTGTAGATGGATTAGTCCAGGTGTNCTCAGTCAGTAGCTGCTGTTCAGCTCAGCTTCAATAACAACACAACTCCGGTGCACTTCTCTCTGCAGCACACCGGTCCGGGACACCGGGACACCGGGACACCGGGACACCGGAACTCCGTCTCCGTCCTCAGACTCACCTGCGTCAGGTGAGTCTGAGGACGGAGACTGAGAGCGCGCGGAGGTCAGACGAGGGCGTGTCCGATAATGGAAGCTTATTTACTGTTAGCCTGACAGATAGCAGCTAGCGGCACGGAGGCTAACCGTAACATCGTTAGCATGCTAGCAGCTAACGGGCAGCTAGCTGACATGATGAGCGGTGAAACAGAACCGGAGCCTAACCGAGCAGCAGCTAACAAACAGACCGAGCCAGAAACGGAACCAGAACACCTGAAACGAACGTCACCTGCGAAGAGCAGCAACTCTTCTTCGTTTCTGCTGTTCTTCGTCTTCTTCTGTTTCTTCTTCTGCTGCAGCTGCAGCTTCTTCTTCGGGGGTTGTAGATTGGACAACGTGAAACGGTGCGTTGCTGCCGCCAGCTGGTCAGTACAGTGTACAGCGTTGTAACGTCCCCTGCCAGTAATCAGATTACTTGTAACAGTAGAGTAGTCCACTCCCCGCTGAGCGGAACAGTCAGTGGAACTGATGAGTGATGAGATCAAGACACACCAGAGTCCATTTAAAAAAGCAGCACTTTAAGGTTTGAGGAACTTTTGTTTTTACAGGAACCAGAACCGTTGGAACCAGACGAAGGTTCGATCCAGTTTATTCACCCGCAGCTACAGTTACAGAAGAAGTTAGACAACAGAAGTGTGAGTCCGTTCAGTTTACTTCACTCTGACAGCTTGGAGAAAACCAGAACCAGAACCAGAACCAGATGTTACTTGATGTTTGTGTGCATCAGCAACAACGAGTGATTCAACTTTAGCATGAAGCTCAAACACGTGTCTGGACAGGTGCCAGGTGCGTCCTTCCTCCTGGATACGGCTGTGTTGTGGAACAACAAGGGCCGTGAAGATCCGGCTGATAACGAGCTCACACACACNGGTGTAGATGGTTTAGTCCTGGTGTAGATGGTTTAGTCCTGGTGTAGATGGTTTAGTCCTGGTGTAGATTGTTTAGTCCAGGTGTAGTTGATTTAGTCCAGGTGTAGATGGATTAGTCCAGGTGTAGCTGGTTTAGTCCAGGTGTAGATGGTTTAGTCCTGGTCTAGATTGTTTAGTCCAGGTGTAGTTGGTTTAGTCCAGGTGTATATGGATTAGTCCAGGCGTAGCTGGTTTAATCCTGGTGTAGATGGTTTAGTCCAGGTGTAGATGGATTAGTCCAGGTGTAGCTGGTTTAGTCCAGGTGTAGTTGGATTAGTCCAGGTGTAGATGGTTTAGTCCAGGTGTAAATTGTTTAGTGCTGGTATAGATGGTTTAGTCCTGGTGTAGATGGTTTGGTCCTGGTGTAGATGGTTTAGTCCTGGTGTAGATTGTTTAGTCCAGG